TAATACGACTCAGGGATAGCGATTTAAGCGAATACAAATAATGTCACACAGTATGATAGATATTCTTTAAACAAACTCACGATCTGTGCGATCGCAAAACCGAGAATGTTTTTTTGTGAAATCTTTTACCGGTAGAGAGTTTACTCTTGGGTTTTAAACACTTTTCTTTTTTTCATACATATGTGGTATCTACAGGATTATACCTATTTTGTAATATTTTATTCAAATACATACACTGAAAAGATATTTGTTAAACTGTTTAATCTAACTCAAAATTAACAATACATCTTATGAAACAATTAAATAACATATACCTGAAAATTATATTAAGTTCTCGTAAACTAAGCAACAGTGCTTACGATTACAAAAACTAACAAGGAAAGAAAATACTTTTGTTATAGATTTTCAAATGTTTGTTTCAAAACGTTTGAGCCCATGTAATGCTTATTAAGACGCCTATATTATCTAGTTTACATATTCTTTATTTAGTTCTTATAATATAAATAATAAAATTCATCAATATATCAGCAAGTTTACAAAGATATCAGCTTTCACACCGTTTGCAGTATATATTATTTGCCTGGCTTTATTTACACATGACCATTTCTATAACCGAGAGGGCGAAAATAAATCTCTGAAACGGGATGCATTATGCAGTTCGCGGTCTGTTTCTGACAGCTATTTATCATATGGTATTACGATAGGTATCATTGCAGCCACGAGCACTTTTATTATATATTTATCGTCTCTTCAATACTGAATGCATCACTTACGATTTTTAAGAATTAATAACAGGACTGCGGGAAAACTACAATAGATACAAAGTCGAGAAAATTTCAAAGAAATTTTTCTAAAGATATTCAGTACTGTCTGGAAGTTTCTTGGATACAGATTATTTTTAGAAACAGTTTTAGTTGATAAATCGATTTTTATGACAAAGCAAGATATTTCTGAAAATTCTTGGTATATATATACATGAGATAATTCATCTGGAAGTGTCTCACATAAAGTATGTAAAAATTAAATGTAGGAAATTGTATAAAAAAACAAATTCTTCAAAATGTTTGAAAATAGCCTACAATACCTTGATATCTAAATTTCGGTAATTCACTGCAATTTCCTCTATACATCTCAAAAACCTATAAGTATGTTTTTTAATTAACTAAAGAGCTCCCATTTATTTTATTATTATTTTTATTCCATTTCAGTTTTCATATTGATCAAGTAGACGTCTTTGTTAATGGTCACATAACTTAGTCTGTGTTTTGTACGCGTCCGTTAGAAAAAATTCACTTCACACCATCTAAGAAGTATATAAATTGAATGTAATTTGTGTAAGTCTTGCCATTTAACTCAATAAGACTTTGAATTGATGTTGCATATTAAGCGAAAGAATCAGAATAAAAAAGAGGTGCTTGTTTTTTATGCAGAAATAACAAACAATAGACGACGTTATGCACGAAGATTTATTTTCAACTTTTTAAGGTTATGTTTTTGCCAGTAATTTGATAATTTAATCATCATAAGGCAAAATGTCACTCATACCCAGTTAATTTGCATATGCATTATTCTTCATGTCGAGGACATTTATATTATTCAATATTCAACTGTTTATGAAATTTAATAATTATATTTCACATTATTTATCCAGATTAAAATTGTTTTGTTTTGTAACAATGCGGCTTTAATACTAATTCTATTTTCCATGTATTAAAACTACGCGGTCGCTCCACCGTATGAATCGCTGTATAAGTCCTGTGCAAAATTCTCTTGTTTTGTGTTCCGTTCACCGAGAATGCGCTTTTCTCATTTGTTTTCATTTTTTGAAAAGTATTAAAAATATGCAAATATATTTCATATTTATTTGCAACGCAACTTGTATTAAAACAGTCATAAAAAATCCCGTTATTTCCAAATCTATTCTAGTAAATACAAATACTCTGAAGCAATGATTTTTAAAATGGTTTTACTATAACTTGTGAGGGGTCTATATTATCGAAAAAATGGTTTCATGAATTATCTGAAAGTCATGAAGAAACGGCTTGACCAATCACACGTGAAACTAATCTGCGCGAGTTCTTACCGAATTTCATTAAATGGCTGTTAAATTTTTTAATTTGATATGGTTGTTCTTGAGAAAACTTCGGGAAAATGTGTAATTTTTTCACTTTAAGTTTCAAACTATTCAGAATTACTTAAATCATCTAGACAACATACATTAGCAAATGGCTAATTGGATGGCTAATTAGCAAATGGCTGAATTTCTGGCAAAAACATGAACTTCTCTTTCACGAAGTTAAAAATAAAGAGGGCAAATAATATTCATGATCATAATAATCAAATAAAATTTATTGATATTGAAAACTTTTAAACACATCGGAATGATTTAACTTTAATTAATTAAGATTAATAAATGTTTTTAAAATACTCGGGAATTTACATTCAATTTATACATTTTTAAGAATAAATTTGTAACGCATACGTGGTACGAAAATATATACTTACAAAAAATATTATTTCACATGTCAATGTAGAAGAAAGAAAACTTCTGATTTGACATTTCAAATCGTTTATTTATTGTTATTATTCATTTTATATGTTTAAGCAATGTTTAGGTAAAAAAACAATATTCCTAAATGAGCAAAAGCTAAAAGTGTCACACAAATATATTAAATGTTTCAAAAATTCTAAGACATAACAAAATGTGAAGGAAGGCTTGGAAACATAAAATGGATATGAAATTTCTTCTTGCGTTGTCAATAACTTGTGCTATAAAGAGTTATAGTGAAATTCATTTTGCAAATCTAGATTCATCTAAATAAATTAATTCCTATATCCCTAAATCACTTCATTCACGAAACGCGAAGAGCTAGAAGTAAATACACATCCATTCTCCTCTTAAATCAAGTAATCGATATTCAAAACTTTGCCGATCTTTATTCATTATGAGCAATTAGCCACTTGAAACTTTTCGAACAAAAGTTTTGTTGCGATATTGCAATAATTGAATTAGTTTTACGACGACTACAAAGGCAGACGAAGGATAAGAGATTTTCAATCGTCTATTCAAGTCAAGTGCCATCGCTGATTAATGCCCATTCGATCATAATAATTAAACGAAATATCTTCGACGATAAAGTGTTATATAGAAATTAGTTATATAATCACAAAAGAGCAGTATTGAAATTTATTGAAGTACCTGTTCGATTTATTATTATTCTCTGGTTTAAATTTTAATAGATTTTTGAGACTCATCTGGCTGCAGGTAATCGGACTCTGATATTGATGATGAGAAATCAGAATTAATTTAGTTGTAATTAATACTAATTTCTAATAAAGCGAGAAATTTCTATTAAAGCACAGTGCAGTATACTACTAATTAGTTATATAATCTATTATAACCATCCCTTAAAAAGATTAATCACAATTTTCCATGTAAAATTTAAAACACGAATCATTGCAATCCATATATTTTAATGAGTTTATATCACAATATGTAAAATAAACTAATATCTGTCAAGTCGATGTTCGAGTGAAATATATTTGTAATATTCTGCATATTTCAAATCAGTTCAATCACATACCATGAATATTATTCAGTTGAATAATTCTGGTCATATTAAACACGGTGGTACTTCATGATCAATAATAAATATCGAATACAATGTAAAATTACCTTGTTGATATATCGGACTTGTGTAAATATTTTCTGCTGCTGGGTAATCACGTTTTATGTACAGATTTCTGTTAATTATGTTTTGTCAAACCGATAGATATTTTTAATCTGCAACAATAAATAAACACTGACTGTGTGCTGATTATTATAAAAAATGTATAGCATATTTACTTGTATAAATTGAGCTCGTCATGGTGTATTGGTTAAGAACTTGGGCTAGCACAAACTGGATTGATTCTAATCTCGGCCAGCTCGATATCAAGCGGTATGATATGTGAAATTTTCACTCGAGGTTATATATACTCTTATATATACAGTTTCATACTATGCGTAGTATTGCAGAATAGTACAATGCTTGATAGTTTTATAATAAAAAAAATCGAGTAAAAAATAAAGAACTAAAAATGTTGTTTTTCTATATTACTAACAAACATTGTATTTTTTAAAAGATGGGCTTTCAAAGTTCAAAGACCAATTTTGAAAATTTTCAAATTTATTATTAAACGAAAAATCTTAATTCTGCAAATTTTTGGGAGATTATGTCATTATTTTTGACTGAGGTATTGGAAATATTATTTTCGATTACGTATCTAAAGTTCAAATGAACAAAATTAATAAAAATGAACCACAATAACCGAAAAATTGTCACATTTTTACTAAAGCTCTAGGTTGCACTTAAAGCTCATAATTTGCAAACTACGTGAAAAATTGAAATTTCTTTTCCATGATAGTTATTATGATTAATATTGCGGTTTGTCGGTTTTCAAAAACCGGTTTTCGGGCGGAAATTATGAAATTCGAAAACCGGTTTTTAGTGGAAAAAATTGGTTTTCACTGTATAAATAGTAAATGACAAATTGATAGACGTCCTCATTTTTTTTAAGTCAAATCTTATTAAACAAAAAATTATTAGAATATTTGAAATTTATTAATTAAAATTGTTCAGAATAGAAAATACTCGGACTTTTGCTTAATTGTTTTTAAAACTGAGTTTTACATGAACAAGTATGTCACAATATGTATCTGTTTTTTTATCATTATTTTTTTAATTTAATAAAAGTTTTTCATTTTTTATATAAAATTTGAAAACCGGTTAAAACCGGTTTACCGGAATAAATACTATTTGAAAACCGTTTTTTTTTTTAAATAAAACTGAAAAAAAACTGAACCCTAAAATACCCAGTTTCGGCTTGAAGTTGAGTTCTGAGACAACATGTATATATGTGTGTGTATGTATGCATGTAATATGTATGTATACACTTATGAACAAAAGCAATTTGTAAATGAATATAATTCTCAAAAAGTGTTTTTGATTAATTTGCAGCCATGTTACGCGCACTGCGGGCTGGTTGCCGCCCGTTGAGAATTGGCTGAACAAGGAGCGGCTGCCTTATGGCTGGGAGAAGGCTCTCGATATTCGGAGGAGGCCCTATTATCTTAAGTGAGTTCACATCAGAAATGTACATTTAAAATTAAATATATTTATATATATATATATATATATATATACTAGCGAACCCGACTCCGTTTCGCCACCAGAAGTTTTCGTGAGAAATATGAAGAATTTTTTTGCTTGTTTTATATTTGAAAAGGAAAAACTTGATTTTTTTACACAACAGTAATGAATTTTTTTCGATTGCAAAAATGAAGTGTTTTTTAGTTGAACTTCTCTAAGTAAATGAAAGTGAATCCGCCAACTATCCGTTTCATCGAAGTGCTCTTTGGTAAACCACATTTTTTGTTTTATGGTCTGACGTTAACACAAACAAAGCGGATGGTTTCCCAACTCGTGAACAGGCAACGTATAACTGCCTATGTGAAAAACAATGATTTTCTAAATAATCTATTTGAAATTTATCTCGCAAACACTAAGCGATTGGCCTTGCGACTTGTTAATTGTCATTGCGAACGCAAGGCGAACTGGAAATTGCAATCGTTTGAAGTCAAACGGAAGACCAGTCGGAATCATTGGTATGTCCCCAAATTGTCAGCAATTTTTGATTGAATGGTGAAATTCATTGCGTGTACTTCATTATTCTTTGCGGCAAGAACTGCTCGTTGACTTAACCAAGCATAATTCTGATAATTCTCACTAATGTTATTACTCGAATTTTTAATTACGGTGCGTGAAGTTTCAGCAATTGGCATTAAGGCACGATGCCATGCACCACCTAATTTTCTTAGCTATAAACCTTGCGGAGCCCGAGACCGCAACGAATGCAAAATTGTCGAATTCGGTTTGTGCGTTCTGGAGTTATATCGTCAGGATAGAAAACCCGACTTATATATATATATATATATATATATATATATATATATATATGTAGATAATTTATATTAAGTATAAATTAATTAATCAATATGAGCATATAAGAAAACAATCTTTAATAAACTGAGTACACACTGAGTATATTCGGTCTATTTTTATTATACTGTTCTTAGATTCTATAAATATATGGTACAAGTTATAGATTATATATAGCATAAATTAAACGTCCTTAAATACTTGGCTAAGCCAAACAGCGTTGATGTTGACAAAATGCTTTCAATTTAACGAGATGTCCGCACGAATCCCGAACAAAGCCGTGATTTACATTAAAGTGATTGATTATAGTTTTTGCTCGGCGGAGCTGCTGAGTATGCAAGCGGTTAATATATATTCTAATGAGAAGGCGTTTAATCGAAAAAAAACTTTTTTGTACCAGTTCCATATATAAGAGCTTTGAAATACTGGCCGTTTTTGCTCTTCCCAGCACCAAATATATGGGGGTTGAAGACTTATTTTTACTATCAGAATAACAATTTTTGAATTTTTGAATTAGCGATTTAAATTATGTTATTTATTGGAAATTCAAATTATTTATTTATTTCAATTAACAAAGTATATTTGAAATTATTTACTTATTTTTCAATATCTCATCTTTATCTCAAATCCTCCAATCGATTTTAATAATTACATATTCTTCTCATTTTTGCATTGAGAAATCAAGAATATCGTATGCAAGGTCAAACAATTGTATTTTTATTTTTTCATTACTATACGACAATCAGAACAGAAATTAATAAAATAAATTAAACATTACGAAAACATAGGAAAAATAAATAATGACGTTGAATTAATATATATTCTGATGTTTTAACAATGAAATATCACTTTTGTACATATATAATTTTGTTTGTTAGAAATTAAATTACCTGATTATTTTTAACTTCCCGTAGGATGAGTTATTGTAATCGTCAAAAAATCGAAAGTGATAATTTTTGCATATCTGCACGTTTTGGAGGTTTCTGAACATTTTGGCATACTTCAGGAAAAATAGATGTGTGTGTATGTGTGGATACAATTTTTTGTCGACCGATTTGAATAATTTCAAAAGTAATCGATTTCTATTGATAGGGAGATGTGCTGATTATTTTTTTGGGAAAGGTCGGTCCAGCCGTTTCCGGGATACGAAGCAATGAGTGCAGAAAATGGAAATTAGGTTTTTGAGAGAACACGGCATCCGATTTGAATTATTCAAGAAACATTCAATTTGTAATGATGAGAAGAAGAGTTTTTGGCAAAGACAGGCCCAGCCGTTTCAGAGATAATTAGCTAAAAATGTAAAAAATGACAGTTTTGAATGATTGGAAGTCAAGTTGGACCTTTGTTCCCCGTCCTACTCTACTTATATAAATATTTCCTCCGTTCTTCTCGAATTTTCCAACCGCTTTTCCCGATCATTACTCCTATTTTCCCGAACTATCCGGTGGTATGTGCGGACTTCAGCTTTCCACGTGTCGTACGATACGAGACGAGTATCACGCAACGACCGCTTCAGAATAGAGAAGCGGCGACGTGTATTCGAGGGAAACTTTGATGTGTTTTCCCTGAACGCGTGCGGCTTTCGCATAAAGTTATTCAATTTCAACTACACAAAATTGTTTTGTAACGAATTCCATCTTATCTGCCATGAGACGCATATTATAATGCGATGACACCGCTCGCAACGTTTGATGGAATCAACATCAAGCGCCTAAATGTTCTGACGAGAAATATAGGAAGCGGTAAAAGGACTTGGACCTAGTTCTTTTGAACAAGAAATGAAACTAGTGGTGCATGGCATCGTGCCTTAAAGAAAATTTCTGGAAATTCCCGTACCAACAATTTTTTTTTTAATTGTATCCGCACACACACACGCACACGCATACACACACTGTATGTTTTTTTGTATATTGAACAAATAATAGAAGGCATTATATTTACAAGCCATCATCGTTAGTTTAAGTATAGTTACTACATAAACTTTGTAATTAGTTTATGGTGATTTTTTTGTAAATTGACAAACTTTATGTCTGCTTAAACGCTTCAAGTCATTTTAAAGCGATTGGGACCTTTGGAAAAAAGTATGTATGTTTGTGTATGTGAGCCAATTTTAGATGAAATTTCCATACAATTTTTTTTTTTTGACAATTTTGATGAATTTTTCAGATTGATTATGGTCAACAATACGTGGTTTAAATTTAAAAATTTATAAGAGTTTGAAAATTATCACGGTCAAAATTTGTTGTAAACAGTCGCTTTTGTGATGTGATGAGTCAAAATTTTAATTTCTACAACGTTTTCTTAAAAACGGCTGAACAGATTTTGCAAATTTAAAATGCATTGGATTAAACTCGATAAAAATGAGCAGCAAATAGGTTTGGGAAATTATCGGACAAATTATTTCTTTGGAGTAAAAAAGCATTTCGTAACCGTTTTCGCAAAAATTTTGCATCTCAAGTTTATGGTGCATTATTCACAGAAATTAATTCATAAATATCTAAATAGATTCTTTACATCTGTATCACTTAACAAGCAATATACAAAACTTTTAGTTGCATAAAAAATGTCACCATCAATTTGAATGATTAAATTATATCAAGGACTACATACATGATATACGTAATCGTGCCAGCATTTTTTTTATAACAAATGCTTAATATTTTATAAAATATTTTATTAAGTTCTTAAAGAAAATGCTCCGGTGTATTTTATGAAATTTAACATGGTGATATAGTTTAGTCCTATAAAAATTGGGTGAATTATATAATTTCATTAAAATTTGGAATTATGGGCGTTTTCAGGGCATACAAGCACGTGTTTGCACAGTTGTAAATTATATTTTTATATAAACAAATCTCGATACTAAATTCAATATTTCAAGCATTTAATATCTATATAACAGTAGAAAGTATTTTATGTTTATATATAGATCTTGATAAACTTTCTTAATAATCCATGACATGAATATCATCAAGTGAAGGAATAAAATTTTCTAAATGTAGGCGTATAATAAGAAAGAGATATTGTCGGCAGTGGTGTCGTAAAAAGCTCGAGCTTTTGCCTCTCAAAGAAAGCTGCAGGCTAATCGACTTTTGACTTCCGTGAAATACTCAAAGCACAGTCGAACAAACATAAAAGTTGCAACTAGAGGGTTTGGTTCTGCTTGAAAAGTATCTACTGTACTTCTATGAGTAAGAGTTGATAAAGATACTTCGATATTTAAAAGAATAAAGCTCGACTTTGTTCTTTAGATGTTTATGAATTCAGTCGTCCTCCTACACGTGCATAAAATTAAACTAAGGATCATTTAATTTAAGACTCTCTTTATATTTGAAGCAAGTTGATAATATCAAGTCAATTATTAAATAATTGATAACTAGTTTTCGTATACTAATCTAATTTGTTCTTAGAACAATCTGAAATATTGTTTTTTCTCTGTCAGCCAAATTATTATTTTTATTAACTTTTCTTAGGGTAAGTTATAGTAATCGTAAAGAAATGAAAATTTTTATAAATCTTTTCGTTTCGGATGTTTCTGAACATTTTGGCATACCTTAGGAAAATGGATGTATGTGTGTGTGTTCGGATTTTTGTCGAGGATTTTTGAAATATGGATCAACCGATTTGGATAATTTAAAAAAACATTCATTTTCTATTAATAAGGAGACGTGCTGATTAGTTTGTGACAAAGGCAGGTCCAGTCGTTTAGGAGATACGGAGTAAAGCGTGCAGAAAATAGAAATCCAGTTTTTGAGAGAACGGAGCACCTGATATGAATGATTCAAAAAACTTTCAATTCGTAATGATAAAGAGATGTGCTGAGTAGTTTTTGGCAAAGGCAGGTCCAGCCCTTTCGGAGGTATAGAGCTAAATGTGCAAAAAATAGCAGTTTTGAGGAATCTAAGCATCCGATTTAAATGATTCAAAAAAAAATTCTGCTTGTGTTGACAAAACAATTGCTTTTGAAAAAAAATTATATTTTTTTTCAAAAAAGTTTTTTTTTGTATATCGAAAAAAGAATCGGATTTTAATTTTATTTCTGGCTAAAGTTCTAAAGCTCATTTATATATATTAAGTAAATAATTTTAACATTGCAATTCAGTTTATATAATTTTTTTAAAAATTAGACGATGTCCTTTATTTTACATCCGATTGATCAAGTTTTGTTTATTTACTTTTCTGTAATACATATATGAACGTCGTCGTCAAATTCATGAGCTCTTATATTTTGTCTATAAAATAAAAATAATGAAAGTAACAGTACTTACAATAGTCTATATGAAAACATTCAATATTCCTTGAATATTTTATTATGGTGCCGGATGTTCCAGTAATTTGCTTTAAGGCACGATGCCATACACCACTAGTTATTTTTATTTTCTACTTTTTTCTCACAAAGTTATGCCATGTGCCACTTTATCCACCAAAACTTTCCTTCCCACGTAATTTTATTTCGCAAAATTCATTAATTATGGTAATTAATCCCCATAGGGCAGGTTTTTAACTGATCACTGAATTTGTTCAGCTGGAAGAATGTTTGTCATAATTCGATATTCTCGATTATCTTTTTGATGTGTTTTTTCTCTGTACTATTGAATTTTCCAATAATTTATATGAACACTTTGTTGCTTGTTAATTCATTCAATAGACCTTTTGATCGGTGTTGCGCAAATGCGCGAATTTGTTTCCGAAATCGGTATTTTTATTGGACTATTATTTTATGAATGTTTCGACGTGAACAATATTTGCCGAAAATTTACAAACGGTTTTTTTTTTAAATTGTATTGTTCTGGAAGTAATTTTGTTATGAAAGCCAGTGTATGGTAAAAAATGATTGTGTGAAATAGTTAAAAGTGAATTTGAAAATTTTAACTCTTCCATTTCAAGTATTATTGTTATTTCATTATTATAATTCTTTGTCAATTACAGATTCTAGAATCAGTATATATATATATATATATATATATATATATATATACTAGATGACCCGACAGACGTAGTCTGTCAAAAGTTTCAAACTTTTTAATATCCTATTCGACGTCATGTCTGTGTGATTCATTTATGGTCTTGGCATAATCAGTATAAGAAATTCAGAAAAAATGATATAGTATCTGCGGTAAAAGAACAATATCGCACTTGATTTTACCACACAATATGATTGCTTTAATAATTTAGTCCATAATTTTCATAATCTCGTACGATATATTAGTTGCTTTTTGGCAATTATAATTTCTAAAGTACATTCTTCTTACTGATAATTTAATAAACATCATTGTTTATGTTCAAATCTTAGGTAAATTAATTTATAAAATCTAGTTCATATGAGCACTATTCAATCTAAGATCAACTTGCTAAATACTCCATATTCAATGCCAAACAAATGAACTTATTTTGACACATGAAACAAAACTCTAAATCATTTTTTCAATAAGTAGAATTATTTTTTGTGTCGTTTAAATAATATAGTAAAGTAAAACAAAATGCGACATGCATAAATTTGAAAAAATAATCTATATGCAATGTTGGATTTATTGCGTTATTTATTAAACTGAGTATTATAATTTCATTTGTCAAACATATACTGTTGACTGTATCTTATATTATTTTAATTTTTGGCACATCTTAGCTGCTTTTCGGCAATACTAATGTAAGAATTACATTTTTCTTGTATATTATATTCTAATATTATCTAGGCTCATAATTTCAGCTAAATTCTAATGTCAAGTAAATTGACATTCCTAGCAGATGTTTTCAATGCCAAACAATGATAAGTGTTTTTTTTTTAAATTTTGCCATTTATTTCTACAATATTACTATAGTTTTATCGTTCATTAAATCTTAAAAATTTTCTTTGACGAACTATAAAAGGAATTATCAAAATCCGAATAACCGTTTAAGAGAAGTATCAAATCATACACCCGTACAGAAGAATTTTATATATAAGATATATATAACGGTAGTCATTAATATTGATATATTCAGTTAAAGTTTCAGCTATTTATCTCAAAGCAAAATGCCACTTGCATTTATAAATATATCTAGATTATATCTCTGATGCAGTTTCTCCCGACTGCAGTTATATAACTCGTACCTTGTAGGTATTAATGTTCCTGATATAATTTCAAACTTACATAGATATTGGTTGAGCCGATCCCAGTATGATATTAAATTCTCATCTTCACAGTAACTTGTCCTAATATATCAAAGATGTTTGGGTCAATTAAATCAACGTCCTCGGCCTAACCCAGTTATTGAATATCGAATTATATCACAATGAATTACAAGGGCCCAGCTAGAATCTAGAGGTTACTTGGAATGGTCCAGATTAAGTAACGAGATTATCTTGTTTAATTAACAAAGACACTTGGTTAGGCTTTTCTAATTTAATGTGATTAAAATTTTGAAGGCGTTCAGTGATTACTAATTGGGGAGATTTGTATGACAGGCACAACTAATTAAGAAAATAAGATTATATGATAGAAAATAAATATTAAAAGTGTTATAGGATTATTACTTTTATGATATTGGAACTCACTATAAATGCATTTATTTTTTCATTTATATATTATTTCGTTGTTACTCAATTGTATATATTATAAACTAATTAATATTCGTTTATTATTAAATTTTTTTTTTACAATTTATATGTATGTTTCCATTCGAATTATTAAATCGTTGATTCAATTTTCAGGAAGTTTACGTTCAAAAGAGAGATTGCAGAATGTATCATTTTGAATATGGCGTTTTACATAATTTGCAGAGTTTAAATTAAATTCCGAATAGAATACCAATCTGTGTCGATCAAAATTATTATATCACTGTATATAATGTTTGAAATTGAAATGAGTATTTAGCAATAATTAATAAATTTATCATTCACATGAAAAATAATTAGGGACAAAATATTTTAAATCCTAAAATTTTTAACAACATAAATTTATGTGTCATTTTATGTTTAGTTTCAATTTGTAATAAAATTGTAATAATAAAGGAAATCTCATTTTATTGAACAACGATGAAGTTGTGTAGAACCATATAATATTAATTTATTTATTGAGGTCTTCTACATCAAAAATACAATAGAGATCACTTACATTTTTTAGAGAAAAATTTAAAAAATATTTAGGCAGCTTCACTAATTTTTTTAAAAATATATTTTCTGAAGAAGAATTTTTTATCTTACAATACTTTTAGTCTCATTTTTTTCGTTTTAAAATCAAAAATGCCCACAAAAAACTACTGGCTCAAATTGTGTAGTGAATTGTAGTGATTGTAACGTTTGTTATTTCGGGGATTTTTTCTAATTTATGTATAAGAGAATAAATAAATGAATGAGAAATAAATAAATGAACACATTTGAACCCGAAGGTTAATAAAATTATATATATATATATATATATATATATATATATATATGAGGATTTTTTGTTTGACGTTGAAACAATTGAAATGAAAAAAACAGCTAATGCGTCGAATGTAAAGAATTTATTTTAATTTTTTATACGTTTCGAGACTAGATGTGTCTCATCTGCAACCCTTCACAATCACAATCCTCTTTAAACAGATACCGAATTAATCTTATAAGGTCTTTAAAATTAATCCATCTGTTCTGGCTGTTATTTAAAAAGAAAAATTATTTTACAGAACAATTTCATTAAAGTTTAATTCTTGATTCCATAGAATTTATGGTTTATAGATGATTTATTTCCTAGTTCTGACCGCTCGTCGTGCTTTCTAGCAAAGGTAGCATTCAGTAATGGATTCTGACACAGATATATATATATATATATATATATATATATATATATATATATATATATTTAAATTTTCCTTACTTTCAATCCGTTATGTGTTTCCATGTGAACGGAACGTCTGAGTTAACCTCACCAGGACAAGTAAAAATTGACAAAAAACTAATACCTGCAAAATGTTTTGTATTTTCACTTTATTCTAATTTTGTTATGTGAATATATCAATTTATGCATAAAACTATAATTGCAAATGCATACTACAAAAGAATCAACGTCCATCCTAACTATTTACCCAGCCAAGTGTAGTCGAAAGCCCAGTACACCAGATTGAAGCGAAAATTACCCACTGATCTTATTTACTAACATTTATATTACTAAAGTTTTTTTTTATTTCTTAATAATTGAATTGAATTGACCTCTAAATGGCATAGGGGTGTTTCTGTATACCGCTGTATTTCTGTAAACTTAGATAAATTATACTAATATATACATTTGGGTGGTCCTCAATATGGATATTTTCCAATTTCTTTACTCCCAAGAGCTCACTTGCTTCCAAATTGATATAAAAAAAAATTCCAGAAGTTTTAGCTCTTAATATTAACTTTAAGATAGTCTGCACTCCAACCAAAGTTGGAGCAAAAAAATTCGAATATATCCATATTACGAACCACCCTAATATATATATATATATATATATATATATATATATATATATATATATATATTAATTTGCAAATATGAACCAACAACACTCTTTTTTGCACTAATTTATTAAATCATAATTTTCACAAACGTTTCGAGACTAGGTTTGTCTCATCATCAGTGTGTTATAGTTTAAAATTTAAAATATGGAAACCTAAATTAGCATTATATGTTATCCGTTACAAGTCGTTCGATATACTGTCTTCTGCCCCACCAACGATCGTCGGTGTCCGAATTCTCTATTCAATTTCAAGTGGTTAGTCACGCAATATCAGATAGGAAAGGAAGGATTAGGGAGCAGTTGAAAAATAGATGTCGTTAGGAGAAAAAATATTCTATGAAATGAGAGGGTTTGTTTATAAAATTTGTTTTAAAATATATATATATATATATATATATATATGTGTGTGTGTGTGTGTGTATGTGTTGGCATGTGTTCTGTAATTTCTTTTCTACTTTTTATTTTCAACCTATCTTTTCTTTTCTCAGCCACGTGAACAAAACGTCTACGTACACGGCGCCAGGGCAGGTTCAGTGGCGTCCAGCTCCGGTTCCACGTTCGGTGACCATGTGCCGGGACCCAGAAATGGGTTTCGGGTTCGTGGCGGGCAGCGAGCGACCGGTACTAGTCAGATGCGTCACGTACGGAGGACCCAGTCATGGCAGATTACTTCCCGGTGATCAGATATTGGCTGTAAATGGAGAGAATGTCAAGGAAGCTCCCAGGGATTATGTCATTAGGTGGGTAATTGACAGATTTTTATATTAACTAGTCGTGCATGGCATTGTGCCTTAAGGCAATTTGCCGGAACTCCTCCGAATATTATTTTTTAAAAACTTTAAAATTTTTTGAAAACTTTGAAAAAACGAGATTTTTAAATTTTGAAATTTTTGAAAAATTAGATTTTGTTTGGCCAATGTTTGGCCTTGCTATATCATTGGTCTGTTGTGCTGCAGAATCGGCTCATTAGTCTATTATTGACATAACATATCTTTGGCCACTTGGCAACAATTATTGGAGCTTGGTTGGCATTTGGGTTTGTCGGTTTTCAAAAACCGGTTTTTGGCAAAAATTGTGGAATTCGAAAACCGGTTTTTTAGTGCGCAAAGTCGGTTTTCACTGTATAAATGGAAAATGATAAATATAGCCAAATATAAAAGATAGATGAAAGCGTTTTGATTCTTGAAATCATATCGGTTCAATAGCATTTGATATCTTATCAGTCTGCAATGCTTCCCAGAAAGGTTTTGTATATATTAATTTAGATTTTTATACCAGTGTATATATTAATTTAAATCAGTATGACTTCTTTTTGAAGAAGTAACTTCCTCTACTCAAACTTAAAAAAAGAGTTTTAAACCCTAGAAGCCACAAATTAAAAAACAAAAACTTAGAGTTATTATATCAGGCTTTAAAAACAATTAAGCATAATTTGATCGCAAGTATGAGAGTATTTTCTATTTCAGAAAATTTTGTGAGTAATCAAAGGACATGTCTAAGTAGAAATTCAGTAGACGTTCTCAGTTTTTTGAAATCATTTGAAAAAACAATTAGAATGTTTAAAATTAATTAATTAAAATTTCTCGGATCAGACAATACCCGAGTTTAGCTTAATTGTTTTTAAAACTAAAATTGATATTAACAAGTATGTATCAACATGTATCTAATACTTTTTATTTTTCTTTTAGTTTAATGAATTTTTGTTATTTATTAATGTATTATTTTTATTTATTCGAAAACTTTCCTTTCAATATCATAAAAATATTTTCATTCTTATATGTGAAAGTGATGCATGAATAACGAATAATTATCTTCAAAGTTATTTATACAAGATAAACTATTATTTTTAGTTCTATTAATTAAAACTAAAATAATTTTGTTTACTATCTATAAAATTGAACAATAAATAATTCAGTCAAATATTGCTCTAAATTACACTAAATTTGCGGATAAATTACAAAATATTCGAGCAAAAATTAATTTTCTATATAAAATTCGAAAACCGGTTAAAACCGGTTTTTTAGTAAAATTGAAATTCGAAAACCGGTTTTCTGAAATGTCGGTTTTTGTATAAACCCTAGTCCTAACGTTGCACCATTTGATGATTTTTTTTGACCTTTGCGAAACTCCTTCAATGACAAACAATTTAATTATTATGATGGTGTCAAATTGTACCTAATACAGTTTTTGGCTAGTAAATATTTATCAATCGTCTACTACTACTGCTACTATTACTATTCACGGATACCCATATTAAATTAAATTTCTTAATCCCGAGTCCCTTCAGTATCTTTTACATCACTCAAATTGTATTACTTAGTGTCATTTAGAGTGTATGTGCACCTAAGCTCTTCGGATCAAACAGATGTAGTAAACGTATTACATTAGCTAAAAACTTCCACCTCGTACGTGAGAGAGCGAAGCAGACTTCTAGTTCACATCGAGTTCCGTAAATATTTAATGATGATGGCAAACGTATTAAGATAGAGAATGTTGTTTTGCCAACGAACAAAATTTATTTTGATATATAATCAAATAATGATAATACATAGTATAAGAAATTCAGAAAAAAATGATATAGATTCTGCGGTAAAAGAACAATATCATACTTGATTTTACCACACAACATAATTGCTTCAATAATTTAGTCTATAATTTTTATACTATCGTACGATGTATTAGTTGCTTTTTGGCAATTATAATTTTTAAAGTACATTATTCTTACTAATAATTTAATAAACATTATTGTTTATGTTCAAATTTTAAGTGAATTAATTTGTAAAATCTAGTTCATATGAGCACTATTCAATCTAAGATCAACTTGCTAAATATTCCATATCCAATGCCAAACAAATGAATTTTTGACGCATGAAACAAAATTCTAAATCATTTTTTTAATAAGTAAAAATATTTTTTGTATTGTTAAATAATTTAGTGAATGCGGTATGCATTAGTTAAAAAAATAATGTATATGCAATTCTAGACTTACTGCGTTATTTATTAAACTGAATTATATAATTTCATCTGCCAAACATACTGTTAACTGTATCTCATATTATTTTAATTTCTAGCACATCTCAGCTGCTTTTCGGCAATAACAATATACACATCACATTTTTTTGTATATTTTTTTCTAATATTATCTAGGCTCATAATTTCAGCTAAACTAAAGTTTCAAGTCAATCGACATTTCTAGCAGATGACAGTTCAAATGTTTTCAATGTCAAACAATGATAAGTGGTTTTTGTAATTTTAATCATTTATTTCTTCAAGATTACTATAGTTTTGTCGTTCATTAAATCTTAAAAAATTTCTTTGACAAACTCTGAAAAGAATTATCAAAATCCGAATAACCGTTTAGGAGAAGTATCAAATCATACACCCGTACAGAAGAATTTTATATATAAGATAATTTATATATATTCTATCTTTTTATTGTATCATATACTATCTATATTATATCATATACTATCTTTATATATTCTATACTGTCCAATTTTTTTACAATTGACTCCTTCCTTCTTTTTCATTTACTAACCTGGCTTTTTTTATTTTTAATTCTGTTCTATCTCAAATCCTGTTTAATTTCAATCCAACAAATCAAAAGACATTTCTAAGTCAGTGCCAGGACTAGAACTGATTATCCTTGTTGTGTAAATCGGGCATGCTACTGACTTAGCTATTCCCGTCACGATGGTATTTTTGATTGAAAAAATGATAATATATACAGTAGAATCTCGTTATACGGATTCGCGATTATCGCGGACTATCAACCGCGACTAATTTATATGTATGTTCATACTTACAATTCGATTAATGCTGCAATTTTGTAAATGTATGTAATGTAATGTAAGAACATATATATGCACATACATATGAAAGTGTTAATTTCTTAATAAACATTGATTTTTGTTGAAATCTATGTATGTATTTGTTATTTTTAATACATACACAACATTATTCTTTATACATTCGATTATCCGGATTTTCGATTATGCAAATGCATATCTACAACAATTAGTCCGGTTAATCGAGGTTCTAGTGTGAAAATTGAGAATATGTGTGTACTTTATGCTTACGTAGTTATAGAATTTATTAAACCTCTCTTTCGATAATTCAGATTGTTGGGTTATAATTTAACCCTTGTGGCTGTGGACTGTATTAAACCCTGATTTGTTGGTATATTATGTATTTGTTGCAGTTCTAATTACAATCACTGATTTGTTACAAGTTATAAAGAAAGAAGATATATTTATTTTTATTGGTTATTTACATGTTGTTAAGCGCACTTTACTTTTTGAAGTGAACAACTAGTTCAATTAAAACACTCCGCTACCCCCTCTACCAGGGGTAGCAACCATTCCGTGTAAAGCTTAATGCCCTGAAGTTTGTCACCTTCATGGCCAATATAATAAAACAAAAAGACGTCCGAACAATGTGAAAAAAATAAACGTTTGTTATATTATATATAATATGTATCTTTTCCTCCCAGAATGGTTCGTGGTTGTGAAAAACACGTGTCGATGGTCGTTTGTCAGCCAGAACCGGTGGGCGCCTTCGGACGGAAGTCGACGATGCAGCGGGCGAAGCAGCAAAGCACCGACGACCAGAGAACAGGCGACGAGGCGGCCGCGGACACCAAGCGAAAGGCGCCGCACGCCCGCGTACGGTTTGCGGAAAGCGTTTGCGTCAACGGGGCTCCATTATTTCCGGTAAGAAATATACATATGTAGTGGTGCATGGCATCGTGCCTTAAGGCCAATAGCTAGAACTTTCCATACCAAAAATTAATTTTTTTTAAAAAGATTAAATTTTCTTTTAGAACTCTGAAAAATCGATTTTTGAGATCTTTAAATTTTTTGTAAAATTTGATATTTTCGAAAAATTTTATTTTTTATACTTTGAAATATTTCGGAATATGAACATTTTTTGAAAATTGAACGACACGACTTGCTTCTACCAAAAACTAATCAGCACGTCTCCTTATCAATACAAATCGAATGTTTTTATAATTATTCAAATCGGTTGACTCGTGTTCCCGAAATTGTCGAAAATTTGTATTTGCACACACACATACATACACACACACATACAAACACACACACATACATACACACATACATACAAACATACACACTACATATGAACATACATACAAACGTACATACACACACATACATACATTTTTGCTAAGGTATGCCTCACCTTTAAACGTAAAGATATACACAAATTTTCATTTTCGATTTTTTTGCGATTACTATAACTTACCCTACGGGAAGTTAATAATTAATGTTTAATTTTATTAATTAATTTGTATTAACAGGCATTGTTTTCAAGTATATTAATTGTAACATAACATAACATATTCACATATATTCTATATTACAGTTCAATTTTAATACTACATTTCATGTACCATAATTTTTATACAAAACCAGGGCTCGATCCGAGTACCTCTGGCATATGAGTAGGGCATGATTAGCAAATTTGCAGTTTATTTATTATGCGATTTGTTTGTGTTTGCTGTCGAAATAGGCGTTTTTATTTTAAATAATTACATTGAGCACTGACATTACCTTTTTCAAAAAATCAGATTTAAAAATTTTAATAGAAGTTCGATGTTTTTCTGCACGGTTGAAGTGAAACTTTGTAATGTGTAAATGAAAATAAGAAGCTGCAAAATTTGATTTTTACTGAACTTATATTATTTTTTAAGACGAACGATCGCATATTGATCACGTCTTTTAATAATCGTTTTCGATTACGAATTGAATATATTTTTTTAATATTTTTCACAAGAACTGCATAAATGGTAGTTCTAGTTTGATTTATAATATTTTTAAATAATTTACAAGATATACAGATAATTTAAAACATTCGGATATAACTTGCTACATTTCCAGACAATTTACAACATTTTTAAATAACACAACATTTTAAGACAATTTACTAAACTGTTATATAACTTACTATACTTTCAGACAATTTACAATACTTTCAGTAAATCTCTACATTTTAGGCAATCTAAAACATTTTCAGACAACCTACAACATTTTGTGACAATCTACAACATTCTCAGACAATTAACACCTTAGAAAAGTCACCTCATTTTCTCAAGACTCTTTTCTTCTTTCTATTAACGACGTCTTCTGTATTTATATATTGGCAGACTATTTTGATGGAAATGATAGAAAATAAAGCTATGAAATGATTTAATAGTTAATAATCATTTATAATAAAAAAATATACACCCATCAAAAAATCATAGAAAACGAAATTTAGGTTTTTAATGTATACTCATGTAAAAATGTTTGAGTTTCATTTTTTTTCAATATGTATATCTTGTGGGATATCAATGATAGTTCTAGTTGGATTAATAACATTTTTAGAAACTTACAACTTTTTTTGGAAGAACGATTTATTTTGTATTTTTATTAATGTTCAAGTCTATACTTTGAATGGATTGGCAATTTGGATTGTTACGTCGTTTCTATACATCAATAAAAATGATCGAAGATAATAATATAATATAAAATTTACATATTAAGTTTTATTAGTTACAACTTTGGTAATGATAATTGAAACTTTATATTCCAAATAAATATTTTAAATTGTAGTTGGAAATCTAATTATTTAATAAATACGAGTCATTTGTTAAACAATAACAGTATTTTTATCACATTCTGTTTTCTGTGTAAGGTAAATTTATCGTATTTCTTCTGCAAACAAATTTTTCAAATTTTAAATAAAAGCAATTATATTCAACTGTTTAATGAAGAAAACCATAGATTGAGTCCGAATCCGAAATGGCAGTGTAACATTTACTACTCTCAATCTCATTTCCTTTAAATCAACACAAACACCAATTTGGTCCGCGATTAATTACCCAATTAACCCTTCTCAAGTTAAAGTAAATTTCATTAGTTGCATATAGGTATTTTGTTTTCCTTTCGCAGCCGTCGGCCTTTTCATTAGGAGACATCTGCGTGCCACCAATGGCAAACGTGTTAAAAGTTTCTTAGAAAATGGACAGACGAAAAGTTTTAAGTACGACGCCTCGACGACTGTCGAAGATGTGGTGAGCAGTCTTAAGGACAAACTCTGCCTCACCGCTTCGGAACACTTCAGCCTGGTGCTCGAACACGTCAAAACTTTACGGAGGAACAAATTGACCCTGCTCGACCCCGAGGAATCCTTGGCAAGGGTGAGATATTTGTTTTGTTTCGTTTTGGTTCCTCGGTTTTACAGAGGATAATATATATATATATATATATATATATATATATATATAAAATTTGAAAGTTTTCAGATTTTATTTAAAATCCATACGTTTCGGCTAACAAATAAATAATTTTTTTCGGAAAAGACGATATATAAATATACTTGTCATAAAAGTTTGCACATGTGTTTGACAAATTGTGAGAATAGCAGTAACTGTGGAATTTTGTCATTTTTTTTATCTTGAGACGCTATTCAAAAATCATATATTTGTTTCGTTCAAAGATGTAAAGTCGTTTCTTTTATTCAGGATCTGTAATCGGATAAACAAACCTTCAATAACTTTCTTCTGAACCAGTTTTCTTCGAAGTGTAGTATTTTAGAGTTAAAAAATCTATATTATGGTTTGAATTGTTTATATGATCTGTAATCACTGTTTTGAATTGTTTACCTTTTTTTTAATTTTTTAATATTAATTTTTTGTGTTGATATAGGCGTTTGCTCAGATTTTTGCTTGTTTCGCCTATGTAAATGAGTTTGCAGTCTGTACACGTTATTTGATATACTAGGCGATCTGAATGAAATGTTGATTTGACTTTAGTATATAATATATATATATATATATATATATATATATATATATACATTCTAGCAATTTAAATTTTATTTAAATAAATATCAAGCAATCAAATTCAATTACAATTATTTCGATATATCAATACGCACATATTGTAAATATGATTAAAATAATCCCAAGTTTATTAATTCAATAAAAGTGCGTTTATTTTATTTTTCAGCATACGAAAATGACTAGTTATTTCATAATTTTA